CTGCTGCTGTTGCTGCTGCTGCTGCTGCTGCTGCGCGCGCAGCAGCGGGAGGTCGCCTTTGGCCCCAAGCCACGAAGCAGCTCCAATTCAGAATCACATCTGCAGCAGCAGCAGCAGCAGCAGCAAGCAGCAGCAGCAGCAGCAGCAGCAGCAGCAGCAGCAGCAGCAAGCAGCAGATGCTGCTGCTGCTGACGCTTCGATGCCAGCTGGAGGACTGGATCCCCTGTGTATCATCTGCTGCTGCAGGGGGTGCTGCTGCTGCTGCAGGGGCTGCTGCTGCTGCGGCAGCAGCTGGGGGTAGTTGATTCACCAGCAGCAGCAGCAGCAGCAGCAGCAGCAGCAGCAGAAGGTGCGTGCTGCAGCAGGCTGAGAGAAGGAGTAAGGAACTCATCAACATCGCTGCAGTCCGTCAGACACTGGGGGCACCCCTCCCCTGCTGCTGCTGCTGCTGCTGCTGCTGCTGCTGCTGCTGCAGGGTCCGAGTCCATCTGCTGCTGCAGTGAGCTGCAGCAGCAGCAAGGCAATCCTAAAGGCGATGGTGCAGCAGCAGCAGCAGCAGCAGACGAAGAAGACAAACACGTTGCAGCACCAACCCGGGGTGCTGCTGCTGCTGCTGCTGCTGCTGCTGCTGCAGCAAATACATTGCTGCTCTTCCACTCTGCACACCTGCTGCTGCTGCTGCTGCTGCTGCTGTCAGCAGCTGCAGCAGGAGACGTTTCCTCTGAGACACTGCAGCGCGTGCTGCTGCCGCCGCTGCTGCTGGTGTAGGGCTGCTCCTCGCACAGAGCAGCAGCAGCAGCAGCAACAGCAGCAGCAGCAGCAGCTGCTGCTGCTGCTGAAGGTGCTGCTGCTGCTGCTGCTGCTGCTGCTGCCTCATTTGTACCCTTGAAGCAGCGGGAGCTGAAGGCCTTATCAACGCCTGAGAGAGAAGAGGCATAACTGAGCTGCATTGTGCTGCTGCTGCTGCTGCTGCTGCTGCTGCTGCTGCAGCTGCTGCTGCTGCAGCTGCTGCTGTTGCTGCTGCTGCTGCTGTTATTCATGTTGCTGCATTGGGTATGAGGATCAGACAGCGATTTTGCTGCTGTTGTTGCAGCGGCGCCTGTTGCCGCTGCAGCTGCTTCTGCTGCGCCTGTTGCTGCTGCTGCTGCTGCTGCTGCTGCTTCTGTTGCTGCTGCTGCTGTTGCTGCTGCTGCTGTTGCTGCTGCTGCTGTTGCTGCTGGCCTGCCCCAGCCCCGGCGAGGGGGGCCAATGTTAAGGGCCTCCGCCAGCATCCTTTCAAGCTCCAAACAGTTGCTGCTGCTGCTGCTGCTGCTGTAGCTGCTGCTGCTGCTGCTGCTGCTGCTGCAGCTTCGGTGCCGCTGCAGGGGAAGGTCATCGCGGACCCAGCCCCCGACCGTGCAGCTCCGTCTCCTGTGTTTGCTGCTGCTGCTGCTGCTGCTGCTGCTGCTGCTGTTGCTGCTGCTGTATCTGTCAAGGTCTTCAAGCGACACGCAGCTGCTGCTGTTGCTGCTGCTGCTTTCTAATGAAGTTGCTGCTGCTGCTTCTTCGTCACATAGAGACACAGCAACAGCAGCAGCAGCAGCAGCAGCAGCTGCAGCAGTTGCATCCCATTCGCTGTCAGGGGCTGCTGCTTCTGCTGTTGCTGCTTCTGGTGCTGCTGCTGGTGCTGCTGCTGCTGCTGCTGCTGCTGCTGCTGCTGCTGTATTCGCTGCTGTCCCCGCAGCAGCTTCTTCTGCTGCAGTCACCTCCTTTGAGAGTGCTGCTGCTGCTGATGCCGCTTCTGCTGCTGCTGCTGCTGCTGCTGCTGCATTTGTTGTAGCGTCAATGGCCGCTGTTCCTGCTGCTGCTGCTGCTGCTGCTGTCGAAGGGTTTGCTGCCAATACGCTGTCACTTCGTTGCTGCTGCTGCTGCTGCTGCTGCTGCTGCTGCAGTTCATCTTCTCGTTGATTGCCTGCTGCTGCTGCTGCTGCATCTGCTGCAGCAGCACACACTTCTGTATACGTATCTGTTGCTGCTGCTGCTGCTGCCACTGCTTGCACTAAACCTGTGGCAGCTGCAGCAGGCGATGAACTGCTGCAGCTGCTGCTGTTGCTGTTGCTGCTGTTGCTGCTGCTGCTGTTGCTGCTGCTGCAAGGAGCAGCAGCAGCCTCGCCGAGACAGAGAGGTGGAGTTTCGTGCTGCAGCTGCAGCTGCAGCAGGAGCTGCCGCTGCAGCTCCAGCTGCTTCTGCAGTTCTGCACGCCGTTGGTGTTGCTGCTGCTGCTGCTGCTGCTGCTGTTGTCGATGTTGCAGTTCCCGTGCGGCGACGCCTCCACATCAGCAGGTAGGAGACAGAATGCTTCTTCCTCTGCTGCCGCTGCTGCTGCTGCTGCTGCTGCTGCTGCTGCAGTTGCTGCTGCTGCTGGTGCTGCTGCTGCAGGCTGCGCACCACATGCACACCCCGGCAGCTATCCGAGAAGCAGCCCATTGCAACGCAGGACGCTAAAGCTGCTGCTGCTGCT